TGTCTGCCATGTGGGGTCGCCCACCCCAGGGGAGCAGGGGGCCCCCACATGGAAGGCGAGGAGACCGGCTCAGAGGCTGGGACGCCTGCCAAAGGCCAGCAGGTGGCAAGTGGCAGCTCGGGAGGGTGAATTCGGGGACTCTGAGTCCTTTGTGGACACAAGGCCAGTGGAGGTAGGGGACAGAGGGCACATGGCCAGCCTGGTCACATTCAGAAGCCCCAGATTTAGGTTTAAAGGGCATCTACCATATGAGGTAATGGTGGCCCAGGTGACAGGACTGAAGGGAGATATCCCCTTTGTCACCCTTCCTCCTTCATCTCCGTCTCGAGGATGCTGGGAAGGGAGCTGGGGCTGCAGGCGGCAGAGACCAGGGGACAACTCTCTCCTGAGATCTGCCTGTCTGTCCCACTTATTTCAACCAAGACGCGTCGTGTCATCGTTGGAACGGACAAATAAGAACCCAAGGGGACAGAGAGAAGGCGCCCGGCCCGTCCTAGCGCCCGGCCGGCCCTTCATGCCTGGAAAGAACAACTCGACCGGGAAAACAATTCACATGCCAGACAATTCACTCACGCACAGGGTCGCGACTTTGGAACCCGAAGAAACCCTGTGCCCGCAGCAGACGTTTCTCCTCCTCTCTCCCCTGCGCCCTGGTAACCGTCAATCCACCTGTCTCCAAGGCGCTGCCTGCTCTTGGATCATTCTGCTTCCCCTGTGCCTGGCTTCTGTCCCTTAACAGTGTCTCCCAGGTTCCTCCATGTGGCAGCATGACGCTGTACCCTTCCCTTTTAGAACACATAATATTTCATCATAAGGACATCACCACATTTTATTTATCTGTGCAAACATTTTCCAAGTTCAAATCAACTTGCTGTGTGACCTGTGTAATATGCAAGCACTTCTCTGTGCCTCCATATCTATGATTAGATTTGTTATAAGGCTTTAATAACTTAATTGATGTAAAACCGTCAGGATAGTGCCTGGTGCAGACTGTGTACTCAGGAAGCAATGGTCAGCTGGGCACGGTGGCACACACCTGTGATCGCAGCACCTTGGGGGCTGAGGCAGGAGGATGCTGAGTTCAAAGCCAGCCTGGGCAACTTAGTGAGGCTCTAAGCAGCTCAGTGAGATCCTGTCTCTAAATAAAACACAAAATAGGGCTGGGGACGTGGCTCAGTGGTGGAGCACCCCTGAGTTCAATCCCTGGCACCCCCAAAAAAAGCAATGGCCATTTTTCGTTCCTGGTGTTCAAAGAGCACTTGTGTCCCTGGCTCTGGGTGACGGACAGAGCACAGAAGCCTTCTTTTCCCACCTTGGAAAGGTCTTGGGAAGCGGAAGGGACTTCGAGGCCAGCCTCTCCCCATTAACAGATGGACAAACTGAGGACTCGCCCTGCCCCGGGGGAGGCAGGAGCCTGGCTGGGGAACCTTGGCAAGCGTCTCCCACGTCCCCACGTCCCATGTCCCCACGTCGGCTGCTGTTACATCACACCTTCCTGGGAAGTGTCCCCTGTCCCCGAGGACAGTCAGGTCAGAGTGTCCTTGGGAGCCAGGTGGGGATGTGACGGATGTTTTCACAGCTGGGGGTGGGCGCTGTCCCCTGGCCTCCCTGGTTGGCAGGCAGCGCTGGTGTCTTTGATTAGCTCAGGTCTCAGAGTCCTGGGTCCATTCCCCTGGGCTGGCACTGCCACCCAGCTGTGTGACCTCAGGGTGGTCACCTCACGGCCCTGGCTTCCTTTCCCACCCTTGGAGATGGGGACAAAGACACGGCCAGGCATTGCCAGGTTAGAGGCTGGGCCTTAGCGAGGCACTGAGGCCAGCAGCTGTGCCTGTCCCCACCTTTTTCCTTGCCCCCCCCACTGTCCCGGACTTTGGGGTCCCCCTTGGTGCTCAGCAGTCCTTCCTACCTGCTCCCCGCTGTGCCTGAGCTGGAGCTCTGGGGTGCTCTGCAGCCAGGCGGCCCCGTCTCTCCCCAGTGGGGCCACAGCAGCCCAGAACGGGCTATACTGCCTCCTGCCTGCTCCCCGCAGCCTCCAACCACTTGCTGCTCCGTCCCTCACCGTACGGTATCCACTGCAGCCTGAGCTCCCGGCACCCAGAATCCAGCCAACCTCTACCGCTAGAGCCTGTCCAAGCCCTCGGATCCTGGGATCCTGGACCTCGGGTCTTCTTCCCACAGGTCCACCTGGCTCCCCTCCACACCCCTGGGTGTCGACCTGACTGTCACCTTCACGGAGGGGACGCCCTGGCCCCCATCTAAAACCACCCGCCCACCCTGTCTGCACAACTGGCCGCCCCCACACCCCGCTGGCCTGTGAATCCTCCTGCGCTGAATCCCCTGCACCCAGGACAGGCTTGGCACACAGTAGGTGCTCAGCAAACTCAGCTTCCTTATCTAACTGCGACTCCCCCAACCCCCTGGAGAAGTTAAATGACATTTTTTTCTTCGTGAGATGGATCCGATCCAGCCTGGTCTCCCTGTTTTGGACGCGGTGCACTTGGCTCCTGTGGCTGCAGCCCAGCTTTCAAATTGGGTCCTAACGGGACCTTTTTTGTCCTATTAGATGGTGCTACCTGTGGCCTTTCAGCTTTGCGTCATCTCCAAATGTGACAAACAGCTTCTCGGTGGGACCTTGTGTCTAAAACTGCCACCAAGGCCAAGGTCAGGCACCTGCAGCCAGGCGGAGCCTCCCGCTGGGGTTATTGTCATGCATGGTGGACAGTGGCCCTCTCTGGGCTTTTGTCCAAGCT